ACATGAGGACTTGTCAACTGTCTGAAATTGGCCATGTTGATTATCACTACAAAAGTTTTTTTTCTCCTCCTGATAATAGCTCATCTTAATTAATTAGCCTCTTAGAGTTGGTATGGCAACTTCCACCTTTTCATGTTCTCTGTATGTACATATATCTTCTTACTATATGTTCCATCTATGCATCCTATGAAGTGAGCTGTAGCCCACAAAAGCTTGTGCTCAAATAAATTTGTTAGTCTCTAAGGTGCCACAAGTACTCCTGTTCTTTTTGCGGATACAGACTAACATGGCTGTTACTCTGAAACCTGTCATTATTTTTTTGGTCATCCTCATTTTTAACACAGCAAAATACTGCCAGATTTTAACCAGTCTTCAGCATCTTTTCTGTCTCCATTTGATCCATTTAACTCCGAAGCAGTTTGTTAATTGTTCAGGTAATTTGGAGATGTGATCTCCAGACACATTTTAAAATGAGAAACAGAAATTGGGGCAAATGATCAGTTTGAAGTAGCTAGTAAGAAGAAAAGACACTTGGCAAATTGAATCAATTTGTTTTGCTCTTTCACTTTTTAGAAGTGACCTAAAATTTAAAAAGTTGTGAGTTATTTTCAGTGACTTGGCTCATAAGTTTGCCACAACATAGCTTTGTCACTGAGGTTTTCTGGGTAGAAGAATTGCAGGATTCCAGGAATTGCAGGAAATAACCTCTGATTCACCTGGAAACATTAGCCATCCCTAGGGCAAAAGATTGCCTATTTAAAGAAAAATTGAAAGCAGCCAAGATCTGGAGCCAAACTGACAGCCAGGAATAGAACAGGGATCAGAGAAGAGATTATTGTATTTGTACTGTTGACAGTGGCACTGCAAAAAATGTGTGAACACAAATATTAGGCTTCATCTTGCATTCTTTGAGCATTGCAGAATCAGTCCCTTCGTCTTTTCTGAGCATTGTGAAGGCTTGAATAGATTCATTTGTTTCGTATTAAAATGTCAGCTGTCTCGCTGCATTGTCTGTATGACTCTTTTACCTTCTACCTTTTGCTTTGCTGCATGATTTTTTTTTGTTCTCTTTTGCTTGAAATGCCTTTTGAATAATGTGGTTTTTTAAATAATTTTTTATAGAGTGTTCTACATCAAGTTGATGTATAATATATTATGGAATTTAATGGGATAACGAAACTGGAGGAAGCAAAGATTTGTTTGTGTCAATATAGAGTAAAAACAGTACAGAAAAGTTAGTTTTCTGTGGTGAGTAGGGCTGGGACTTCACCCCATGTTGTTTTGTAGTTCTGCTGATTAACTCTTTCTTCTCCTCATAGAACTTTGGCCTGGATGGTACTTTCTAATGCAGTCACTCTTCTGCCTCTCTCAGGACCAAGCAGAGTAGCATGTCCCATCACAATGAGTGCACATACCTTGTGTACGGAAATTTGGGGGAGGGGAGAATCTCTATAAGAGAGATCATCCTCGCTATTACAGTGTGTAACAAGACACACATGATTCTTTGAGTAAACAATGCACCTAAAATTGGAAAGATCTCTGCAGAAGCAATCTTAGAAGTTATTTTTAAGAAATGTCACTTATTCACTACCACATTCCTACAGTAAGAAATATTGACACATTTCATAATCACAAATGTAATAGCTATTATAAAAGAACAATAAAACAAAAGTTTTATGTTGGCTGCTGGTTTGGATTTCGAAGAGAAAATTTTGTACACGTCCTAAATGACGTCTTCTCTGGAATCTGACACCACTTGAAATCCAGATCAATAAAGCAAGTGTACACATTTTCAAAATCTGGAATAGAAAAAACATGAATGACATATGCACTCTATTTCCAGTTCCATTAGTTTACTATGCGTTTTTTGACATTCACATTCTAATTTTTTTTCATATTAGAAATTTTTGCTGCTTTTGGAATTGAAGGAATTTTCAGTCAAAACATTTTCTATAAATAAATACATTAATTAAATATTTTAACTATTCTATCAATAGAATATCTCATTAAATCTCTGTCTCATTACTTACAAAATCACATTGTACATTTTAAAAAACCTAGGAAATTGCACCCTGCCCCCACCCCAAAAAAGAAAACAATCATTGGTAGAGTTAGTCATTCATGTGTAAACAGCACTGGCTGCAAATCAAGGAAATCATCAGTTCAGATCATCCTACATCCATCATCAACACATACCTAACTTGCACAACCTCCATTTTTTCCCACTGTCAGCCAACAAGTAGAACAATACTTTTTCTATGATGAACACCAGCAGATGCACATTCTCAACTCGGACTTAAAATTTCAGGAATAAACCACTGATAGCTTGAGGAGTAAGAGCAGACCACAAGCTGGCTTGACTCCTGGCTGTTTCACAGCAGAGCAAATCTTCATCTGTCCACCAGTTTATCGAGAAGGCACGAGAATTCAAGTGCCCTGTTCACATTGTATTTGTGGATATCAAGGCCTCCTTTAAAAGAAAAGGAGTACTTGTGGCACCTTAGAGACTAACCAATTTATTTGAGCATGAGCTTTCGTGAGCTACAGCTCACTTCATCAGATGTTTACCGTGGAAACTGCAGCAGACTTTATATACACACAGAGAATATGAAAATATGTTTCATATTCTCTGTGTGTATATAAAGTCTGCTGCAGTTTCCACGGTAAACATCTGATGAAGTGAGCTGTAGCTCACGAAAGCTCATGCTCAAATAAATTGGTTAGTCTCTAAGGTGCCACAAGTACTCCTTTTCTTTTTGCGAATACAGACTAACACGGCTGTTCCTCTAAGGCCTCCTTTGACTCTGTTGACAGGGAATCGCTTTAACTGATCTTGAAACTCACAGGCCTCACTAGCAAGCTCTGTAGAATGTTCCATCTTCTCTATGGTGATTCCTCAAGCTGTGTTCTTGGAAAAGGGAAAAGAACCTCCTTCTTCCAGATTAGGTTGGGCATTTGACAAGGATTTGTTGCTACACCAGAACATTTCAGTGCTGTCACAGACTGTGTGCTTGATTAGACATTAAGTGAATGCAGTTTAGGAATACGCCATGATGATAAGAACCTCACCAATGTAGGTTTTGCCAACGACATAGTGCTAGTTTTCAAATCAATGAACGAGCTAGTCGTGACACATAAAGCCCTGGAAAGCTATGCAGCAAAAGTCAACCTGAAAATGAAGTAAGGTAAAAACGAATTTCTTCCAGTTGATGATTTTAAATGTACTGCAGGCTCTAGTATCTTAGTGGGCGACCAGCCAGTTGAGATTGTTGGTGATTTCACCTGCCTCAGCTCTATTGTCGATAACATGGGCAGCATTGAGAAAGAGCTCGAGGAGAACTTTAAGCCTGCACTGCAAAAGCATCATCAGTAGTGGGGAACCTAATTAAGAACGTCTTTCACAAACTGAACACCTGATAAGTAGAGAGATGAAGCTGAAGGATAATAATGCTTTGGTGTTCAGCGTTTCTTAAAGTGTGGTATCCATAACTGGATATATGTATATATTATTATTAATTTTATCCTCAAAATACAGGGAGAGAGGAACAATTTTCACCTCAACCTTCCACTTAACTAACCCTTTTCTCTTCTCCATTTTCCTTCATCCCATCCCACCTTCCCTCCTTACATCTGGTGTATCCATCCAGTCCCCAAATTCCCTGGCCTCTTCTCGCGATTAGGCTCTCTTAAAGGGACACAGTCAATTTAAAAATGATGTCTGTCAGAATTTTTTTACCTGCTTTTGTTACAAGTAAGAACTCAGGACAGTGTTTCTTCTGTCCTCTTTCAATGATAATCTTTCCCGTTCCTTTACTTTGTTGACATTGTGCATTATACAGCATTTTGTGTATAGTCAGGTCCCTTAAGCTCTATCTAATTTTGTCAGGTTTAAGAGTAGCAGCTGTGTTAGTCTGTATCCGCAAAAAGAAAAGGAGGACTTGTGGCACCTTGGAGACTAACAAATTTTACAGCAGTAGCTCACGAAAGCTTATGCTCAAATAAATTTGTTAGTCTCCAAGGTGCCACAAGTCCTCCTTTTCTTTTTATCTAATTTTGTGTTTTGAGTAGTCTCCTTGAAGTCAATTTGCATTTCAAATGTGCTTAACCCTTTACAGGAATAGAGGGTTTTAGTCATTTTCCCCTGCTGCTTATGTGGGCTTTTCATACACCAAGGAGGAGAGAAAAATATTTTTAAAAAGGCAAAATGTGATTGTAAAACTGCAAACATTGGCACAGGATCTGAGGTCTGGTATCTGAAACAATTATTTTTTAAATTGAGTAGATTTCAAAGTTGATTGTTCCTGTCAGTTTAGTTGATAACTCAGATACTATAGTGCTGTGGGCCTAATTCAAACCTAGAGAGAGAGAGAGTGTGTGAAGTAGTCAACATTCTGATTAACTGGCAGTGATGTCATCTTTCCCCTGTCAACAACACTTAAGAAATGTGTGTGCCAGATTTTTCCTTCTTTCTGCCTTATTATATATTTGTACATTCCACTTCCTAATTTCAAGCAGTGAGACGATTCTTTCGCTTCTTGGGTAGTTAAACTGTGGTTATTGGCTTTTTCTTTAGTAAAATAACCTGAGATGCATAATAATCACTGAGAAATACACTGCTGTTCATATTATTTTCTGCTTAACTGTCTATAGAGTGGTTGTCATTAAAACTTCACCATATACTGACAGCTAGAGCTCAGTAGTATCTAAGGGAAAACTGGTAATCTCATACTTAGACTAGGAAACAACTATGCTAACTGTGTGGTGTCTGTTGGCAAAAGCTGCCATTTTAATGGGGATCCCGATCTGTACACTTACATGTTCAGGCATACAGATATACCGGGTGCAAGCTAATAAAACTTGCTTATAAGATTTTCATGTTGATTTGCGTCTGGCGAAGGATTGAATGCACTGTGCACTGTATTGGTAAATGTTAGAAGGAATAATATGTTGTCTTTAAAAGAACAAAAACCAAACCTTTAATGATTGTTTTCTGTTCTCAGCCACCACTGGTCCAAGCAATTTTCAGCGGGGATCCAGAGGAGATACGGATGTTGATCTACAAAACTGAGGATGTTAACGCTCTGGTAAGTGACTGTGTGTGTATGTAACTGTGCTTATGAACGGTCATGGCTTCGATATGAATGATTCCATTAGTATAAAAAAACTAACAAAATGGAAAATATTTGGTAGCTAGAGATTCATGGCTTAAATAGATTCCTAGTTATTACTGGAACAAATAATTATCTACAGCACAGGGTAGTAATTCCCTACATGTACCATAATTACTTTAAAGTGCAAGTCAGTCAGGGACAGTAAGTTTTGTCCAAATCCCTATTGTTGTGAAATAAAAAACAGCTGAAAGTAGCATATCTTGAATCTCTGTAGAATTTCTCACTAATAATGAGCCCTTGCAGATTTGGGACTGACCTTCATTCAGGATTTGAACATATTTAATGTCTAAGCTAATTTCACTACAGCTATCTCAAACAACAAGATTAAGGAAGCTGCAGCTTGGCCAGTGATATATACACAGAGGAATTATTGCAGGATAGATTGGCTTATGTCTAGCTTAGACAATGGTAAACAGCTGTAAACAAGCAGAGGTTAAGTATTTAATAGCGGAAAATCTTAAAGCTGAGCCTGCTCTTCTTTAGGAACTTGTTTGTTTTTTGCCTTACACTTTTCCCCATTGTATTCAATGACATTAGAACTGTTAAAATGAGCAGTTTTTGCTGGCATCTTGAGTATAGTTGGTAAGCTCTGGAGCTGGTTAGACTATGGAGCTGAGACCACACAGAGATTTGCAGGCTGTCAACTTGGTCTTTTAAGTTAAAACATCCTTTCCCTGTGTCTTTTCCAGACCAGAAAACTCAGTTATTTTCTTATGAGCTTGTTCCAGTGGTTTGTCTGGTTTATTTACAACATAGGAGGGTCTTGATTGGAACTACAGCTCCTGTGGCCATTGTGGGTCAAATATCTGGTTGAAAGAGGTAGACGTCGAGATTTGTCTTACAGCTGTAGCAGTGATCCCCCAGCTTTAGTTCAGCAGGGCTCCATCCAACTCCCAGTGATCTCAACAGAATGAGTTGCCACTGACTTAAGTGGACGTCAGATCAGGCTCATATAGAGAGGTGAAAGGAGAGGCTGAGGTAAAGCTGATGATGTAAGTATCAGTTCTTATGTCCTGTCCTGAAATAAGAATCTAAAGGTGCTAATTGTAAAATATTGTCTGCTTTTTATCCCCTTCTATTTTTGTTTTCTCCAATCGTAACAATGGAATTTTGACACACTTACAAGGTGAATAATCTGTTTTTTATACTGCATATTAGTTTGTCAAAAACTCTTGTTGTGTAGATCCAGCTGGTCACATGCTTTTAGTTCTACCCATAAAATGTTTTCATGTCCCCTTCAGTCCAAGGTTGCTGGTGATTGTTGCTTTGGAGATGTACTCAATTCCCAGGTAAAATATTAAGTGGGTAGCATATGTTTTATATGAGGAGACCATGGCTTTTAATGGAAAAAAAATAATTGATGTGAACATTTTTATGTAGAATTCTGTTTAGTACAGTGAAAGCCCTTGCAAGACTGTGTTGACCCACCAGCTTTCCCGTCTGCGTATAAGAAATGGAATGGTCTTTGCAGTAATTACAAAAATATTTTTCAGGATATATTCAGAAATATAAATTTAAAATAGTAATTTCAGATAAATACCAAACACTGGAAATGTCACTAAAAGAATGGGTAGAAGACACCACAACTCCCAACTGCATAGGCGAATTATCTTCAGTCTGTTTCTAGTTCCTTCCATGTAAGCGTTTCAGCAATGCTCGGCTACTTCTAGCCATGTGACAGGAAACTTTGGCATTGCTTGTTAGTGATGGGGTTTTTTGTTGATCATTTTTGGTTAATAGTAAAAATATTGAAAGAGTTAAAATGTAAATACAAAGTAAAAATACGATTTGACTGTTCTCACAGTGAGCTTTAAGAATTTCTAAAGTCATATGTGATGTTTCAGAGCCCACAGCAGAATAGCTATTAGCATGGCTGAACAAAATGGGACATGGGAAACTATGAAAAATAAGTGATACCTAACAATAGTAAACTGTCAAAGCAGCATGAGAGTTGTCCTTATCTAAGGAAATAGAATATTAACCTTAGAAAAGACTGCAGAGCAAATCATAAATTAGAAGAACAAATTATGTAACCTAGCAATATAAACAATATTTTTCCTAGCCTGGAAGTGTGTGTTTAAAAAAATAAATGACTCTGAGGTCTAAATGCTAACAAATTTTATTTGAGCATAAGTTTTCGTGAGCTACAGCTCACTTCTTCAGATGCATGCAGTGGAAAATACAGTGGGGAGATATATATACACAGAGAACATGAAACAATGGGTGTTACCGTACACACTGTAACAAGAGTGATCAGGTAAGGTGAGATATTACCAGCAGGTGGCGGGGGGGGGGGCGGGGGGGGGGGAGCCTTTTGTAGTGATAATCAAGGTGGGCCATTTCCAGCAGTTGACAACACCTTGTCATGGCCCACCTTGATTATCACTACAAAAGGCTCCCCCCCCACCCCTCCTGCTGGTAATATCTCACCTTACCTGATCACTCTTGTTACAGTGTGTATGGTAACACCGGTTGTTTCATGTTCTCTGTGTATATAAATCTCCTCACTGTATTTTGCACTGCATGCATCCGATGAAGTGGGCTGTAGCTCACAAAAGCTTATGCTCACATAAATTTATTAGTCTCTAACGTGCCACAAGTCCTCCTTTTCTTTTTGCGGATACAGACTAACACGCCTGCTGTTCTGAAATCTGAGGTCTAAATGATGCTTCTGTAATTGGGACTTTTATTTTGTAACCAAGAAAAAGTTGTAACTGTTTGGCTTAGTGTGGCTTGTTTGTTTTTAGTTCATTTTTCCAAGATAGAGGTCAGAGTGACTGCTCCGTGTTTCTCACTGGTCTTCGTGGAGAACCAGTTGCTGCTTTTACATCTTGATGGCAATGATACTTTTTATCTAGGGGGCAGTAGTTGCTTCTTATCACTAAACATTTGACTGCTTTTACCCACAGGTGGCTCTGCAGGCAATTTTCACTGACCTACAGCCCAGGGAATAGGGATTTTGATTGGAATCCCTGTGTCTTAGTTTTATAGACCAACATATGTTGTACTATGAAACCACTGAGCTAGCTGCAGGCAGGTATTTTTAACACTTACCCTTTATACATGCAAATATAGATGTAATTTTGTTAGTTTTTTAATTTGGAGAAGAACAGGGGGACAGTTCTGAGATTTTTTTTCTTTCATTCTTTCTTCCCTAAGAGCTTTTTGACCCTCCCTCTAGTGATGGCCCCGTACACAGTGTGAACTAGTGGTGGGCATCTGAAATCTAGGCAGTTGTTTAGGGCTTCACTCATCCAGGATTCCAGCCCCCCAGGGAGAAGAGCGGGTCAATTTTTTTCGGAGAAAAATGGCTTTTCAACTGCAACAAAATAACTTATGGAAAATGTTCATATAGGTTTAAATCTTCCACTTTAAAAAGATAAAGAACAAAAAGTGTGTGGTTTTTGAAAACTGAAAAACTTCTTTGTTTTTCCCTCTTCCCTTTTTCTTCTTTTTTTTCCCTTTTTTCTTTATGCCAGGAAGAGAAAATGTGTGTGTGTGTGTGTGTGTGTGTGTGTAGGAGGGGAATAAACCAAAATTGTTTTTTGTTTTAATTTTTGTTGGAAAAGGTGACAAATTCTGGAAAAAAAATGAAATTCTGCCAGAAGTTTTATCATGTTTGAACCTTTTCATGGAAAATATATTGCATTTTTCACCAGCTCTACCAGTCAAAGCACCATCTGCATGTACTATATTTGTTACAGTTAATCTATGTAGGGATTTATTAATAACTTGGGTTGGGATTTTCAAAGGCGCATAAGGGAAGTAGTCGCACAAATCACATTGACTTTCATTATGAGAGCTTGCTGACATACCTCTACATTATTGGACGAGCTTCTGTTTGTGAGAGAGACAAGCTTTCGAGCTACACAGGAGCTGTTCTTCAGGTGTGGAAGAACAACACTGCATACCTCTCCATTGTTCACTACTTCCATCTTTCATAAAAAAAAAAAAAAATTGAAGTCTCTAGCAGTCATTTTATGAAGATCTATCTACACAAGTGCTTCCTGAAATGGAGTGATTGAGAAGGACTAGCTGGACGGATGGGGAACAAATTAAGATGTGTAGGCAGTGTACAGATGCAACTGGTTTCATTTTTCTTAAAGTAGCATTGCCAACATGAAGTGCTCAAAATTTGAGAGTCAGGCCCCTCCAAATCATCATCATTTATTACAAAATCCTAAAATTAAAAAAAATGCTAACTTTTGGATGCTTTTATTTGCCTTCTGTTTTTTGAGCTTAGAGTACTTGTGTCATGCTTTCAAGCTTTAGTCTGCAACCATGAAAGCTAGAAACTTAAATACATTTGCATGAATTTGAGATGATACTAATGTACACAGCTACAAATGAGGATTAGTAGTCCAATATGAGAGGCCACAGTTTCCTATCCTGAGATTATGTGTAGGAAGAGGACCAGCAGCAAAACAATACTGAGCACTTTTGCTTACCTTATATAATCCACATAGTCATAACTGATCAAGAATTCATCCAGAATAATGGAGATACTTATTATACATAAGATTTAATATTCTCCAGTGCAGTGTCTTACTCTGTAAGTATTAGACTAAAGATATTGTAAGTATGGTACCAAACCCCATAAGCATGACCCTTGCTAGGAGTCAACAGAGTAAGGTAATGAGAGATTTGAAAAATCATTTTGAAGATTTAATATAAGTTAATAAATGGTGTTTCCATTTTCAGGGGAAAAAAAGCTGTGTTCTTTGCATGAATTCACATTTGTGTATTCATGATTGATTAATAAAAATATTATTTAAAAGACTTAATTTGGCCACTACAGAACCCACATCAACAGCCAATAAGACAGACCTCAGAATGACTGAGACTCTTAGACAAGTGATCTACAAGCCACATATCTTCCTCAAATCCCATTTTATCAAAGAGGGATTAGTCAC